GGGATGCCCTGACCGGCGGTCGGGAGGGAGAATCGGCAGAGGAGAGCGCTGAGCGCTCGGCCGCGGCGCGCCCCGAGGAGGGAGATGGCTGCGCTTCCTCCCGCGCCCGGCTGCACCGGCGGGGCTCCCTGAGGGGTCCCTGAGCCGGACAGCCGGGTGAAGAAGGACGCGGTAGGGCACTGCTCCCTTGAAGGTCTCTGGATCTCGATGGGGAAGGCGGCTGCGGCCGCCTCCCCCGTGTGCGGGGCTCAGTCGGCTCCCGGGCGCTGCGGGGCGGACGGGGAGGCGCGGGGCTGGCCGGCGGGGGGCCGGTTCCGAGGGCCGGCAGGGAGGGCTGCAGGAGGGGGTGACGAGAAAAACAGGTGAGGTGCGAGAAAGCACTAAGCTGTTTCAGCCTTTTAGCATCTTCTTCTCTGTACGGGAGATGTTAATAGTTTTGCGATTGTGTTCACGGTCTGTGTTTATAAACATCTTGGACGCTCTCATCGTTTAGTGAAACAGCGTCGGTATTTAGAGCTTAGTTGGGATACTGAATCCTGTGCGTTCCTTGTGTTGGAAGCGATGTTTGGGTGACCTGTGTTGCATAACAGTAGATTAAGAGAGACGCACACCAACCCTCTGTTTTTTTCACTACCAGATTAACCTTAGTTTTTCTAACACTTGCAACGTTTTTGAGCTTTTATTTTTTTGTGCAAGGTGTAAAGCTGATTTTTTTTTTTTGAGGGTTCTTTGTGGATATTGTCAAAAGAAAGTATTTGTCTTTATATATAGGTACTAACAGGTGATGAGAAAAACCATGGGAGTGGCTTTTTGTCTTCGCTGTTAGATGGTGGTCCTTCCAAAGTCTAGAGCGCTTCCAGTCTTAGACAAACGAATGCAATAACAAACTGTTGGTGTCATACACGTAGTGGTGATTGCCAGAATCTGCTTAGCTGTTTAAGAAATGATGAGACCTTCTGACCAAAAGGTACCAGTTTTGAGGTGAGCTGCATCACAGAAGAATTTTATATTAAATTTGTTGGAGTACCTGATAGATGCTTGCCAATGAATGTATTTCAATCATAAAAAATACTTAGTATGCTCTGTGGAAGAATCGCAAAGGATTCTGTGCATAACCAGGGTTGCAACAGATGGTTAAAAACCACAGAATCTGTAGTGCTAGAAATGCTATACTTTATTTTTAAGATAAATCGTGTCTTGGTACAGTATATGTAATTTTTAAAAGACACTATATTTCCTCTTTCACGCGACTGCTTTCTCTCTTGTTATATGTGTTATCTTTAAATAATTTTAGCCTTTCAATTCTAAGGAAAGACTCTGGTTATATTGAACTCTGGCTATATTGTTGCTTGCTTTGTTTTTGACAATTTCTTAAAAATTATGGTTAGAACTGCAATTTCTCATGAAAAGAAAGTTTAAGTCTTTTTTTAAAAGGAGGTTTAATCCTATTATGAGGATTTTTGACGCACGTCAGTGATAATCTCATTGACAATTTAATATCTGAGTTTTATCTCTTGCCTTTTGGGTTTTTTTATCAAATATGGCTCTGAAAGAACTCTTAATTTTCTTACTTTGTGCTTACTTCTAAAGAAGATGAGTAGGTGGTGTTAGTGTTGGGTGAAGACAGCTCAGCTGGCTGCCCTTATCTAATCTGTAGCTTTCTTGCCGAAAACCTCAGTGAAGGCCGGGTGTGGGGAATGTGTCAGGGCCCTGCTACAACATTGCTGAGCGCTTGCAACTGGATTTTTCACCAGCTGCTTCACCCCTCACACCTCTGCAGTTTTGGAGGAAGGGGTTTGTGATGCAGGCCTCCCCTTCACCAGGGAAGGAAAACTGATTTTGCTTGCTTTTAAATTGTGTTAGAAAATAATACTGCTGTAACGCTTTACATGAGGTCAGTTTCTTGGTTTTGTCTCTCTTTTATTCACTTGACTTCAGTGTGGAATGTTGTAGTTTCTTTGGAAAACTTTTTTTGGAAGAACTAAGGCAAAGATGTGGGGGGGGTGTTTTTGTTAACTTGTGTTGCTTCTGCATTTTACTTTTTGCAAAACTTGGTGTTTCTTTTCTTCTGAGACCTGTAGAAAACAATCCATGTAGACATACTGCTGTTACAGTGACGAGGCTTAAACTGTACTGATGTGAATTAAGTGTAGATGATGTGTATGGATTAAGAGTAGATGATGTGTGCTAGTCCTGGTGTGGATTAAAAGCGACCTTTTACCTGCAGCCTTAAATTTCAGGGGGGAGCAGTTTCCCTGGTTTGATCTATCACGTGTCCACAAAGACATTTGTTGTAGTTGGAGTGAGCGAAGGGGGTGCTATTTATTTCAGAAGCTGTGAGCTGGTGCTAATTCAAAATGTTCGTTAAGCTGTGACACCATTTCCACAAAAGCACAGTATGGGTAGTTGTAATTTCTGTATATTTGTGCAGGCTGCCTGGCAGCAAGATGATGTTTTTTCCCATGGAGGCCACTTGCATGCAATAGAAAATAGCGTAAACAATTTAGTAATCGAACCCAGTGTGACTATTCTGTTAAAAACTGAGGGGAGAGTAATATTTTTTTAAAAATTAAAACTAGATGCTTAAAAGCACAAGCAGATAATGTCTTCATTTATATTCTTCACTCTTAAAAGTCTTCTGAAAAAAGGTTTTTCTCCGCTCCTGCTTTAAGTTTGAAATGAATGTATTCCTGACTAAATTTTGAACTGCTCTGAGGGAAAAGGGAAAAGGAGTTTGAATGCAGTTAGTCTTATGAATATGTTGTCTTAAAGCCTAAGAAATTGGGAAGTTGTTGAATGGGTAATTAGCTGCTACTTGTAAGTCAGAATTTGTGTGAGATTCTCAAAGCTTATACTCCGTATCTTTTCCACCTTTAATACAACATTTTTATTGCTAACGGAGTTAAAAGTTGGAGAAGATACAAGGAAGAGTGTAAAATGCACTGCACGCTGTTTGTTCTTGTGAGCTGGAAGATAGAGTGTTTGCGTGTAATCCAAGAGAAACAGTCTATCAACCACTGCCACGTTTTCATCTATTGGTAAACATCAGCTGCTGGTTGGTCTTAAGGGAGGAAGACTGAATTAGTTCCAGATGGAGAACTGTTTCAGCTCGTTTAAGACTTTCCCGTTGATTTAAGACAGCAGGTCAGTAATTTAGGGGAATAGTTTTGTTCTTCTTTGCTGTTCTGCTTCCTGCCGTGTGTGGGATCAGCGATACCACTGCAGTGCTGCTGAGGGTGGGAGTTACATTGTGCTTAATTACTTGTGCTTTTAATTGAGTAGTATGAATGGAAAAAGTGTTGACAAAGTTGTGATAACTAACCATTTTGAATGTAGAGGGGTATTTCTTTTTAAGATTTGAAAAAGGAGGAGGAGTTAAGAATCCATCTTTCTTAACAAATTCTCTTAAGGAATTCATATCTTCCTTCAAATTGGCTAGTTTTGTCTTAAATTGGGTTAACACGAGTATATGGTTTAACGCAAGTGTGTCAGAGGGTCTTGTACCCCGGTGTGCTGCTAGCGTGATTTCCTGGTAAAGTGGGAAGAGATACGGGGATAGGGACGGGTGCCTTCTGTGCATGGCTGCAATAACAGGAATAGAGAACATGAGGAATGGAAAATGTCAGTGTAGAGTGGAAACTGACAGGATATATTTAACTCTTTAGTACCGCTTATGATTTATTTTGAGATGCCACATTGAGCATTAAATAAGCATGAAGAAAAGAGAGTATCCTATACACCCATTCACATGCTAACAAAATCAGGGCAGGTGCAGTAGCTCTTGTTACAACTCTTATATTTTTGCTTGCCATTGATTATTTCTTGTGCTGCCATTGTTTGATGCACTGCAGTATTACGATCTCATTTCAGACAGCTTTTCCAAGGTGTCCAGTGATTAACTTCCCCCCCCAAGAATTCCTTCTTAAACTGTATAAGGTCCACCATCTTGTCTATCCAGCAAATGTGCTTCTGGAGAAAAGTATTTCAAATTTAATTTCCCCTCCTGTTTGTTCGTTGAGGAGCAAAAGAGGCGTTGTCTGTCATTTCGTTCTCATCTGATTAATCCTATTTTTTTTTTTGCTCATAAAACACAGACTGCAAAATAGAAACCAATAAATCCGATAGTGTGTTTTAATGTTGTAGATAAGCTGCTCAGGTGCAATTTCTTTCTTTCTTAATACAGACTTTTGTTATTCTCTGTAGTGTTGTACTGTAACTTGCCACATTTCATGTAATTTGCACCAGGAGAAAGCTCTAGGTGCAAACAATTTAATGCCTTTTTCTGTCAGACCTTTTAAAAAGACTTTAAGAATTATTGCAAGTACTAATATTGAATTGCAAGCTGTAACAGTACTGCAGTGGCAAAATAAGCAATGCTGCATTATTTACAAGTAATTAAATAAAGAACAAGTCTGTTTGGGAAGCTCTTGGACATATTTTTCGTACTTTGTTCACCTAGACCTCGTAGTTATCAGGGTAACTCTATGATTACTGGAAGTTGTAGTCCTTGATTATTGATTGCTCACTTTGACTCGAGATGGTAACAGGTTAATTAGTACTAAGGGTACAGGCTCCTGGCCAGATTTTGTGGGTTGTGAAGATTTTTCTGTTGAGTGGTTATAAGAAAAACCTTAGACTGAGATCAAAGAAACTGTAGAATCTTGAAGAGGAGTTAATTACAATGGAAAAGACTGTGTTGACATGCTTCAGAAGAGAAAGAACTTAAAAACACATGAAGTCTTTTGTGTGTGTGCGTGCTATTTTAGAATAAAAAAAAAATATCTCCCTTAGATAAGTTTTTAGTGCGTAATCTTGGTATGATGATGTCAGGAGTGCAAAATGCAGTTTGAAAGACAAGCTACAGAAGTATTTATCTTTCATAAACTGCAGGTGAAATGTGGTATCTTTGCTGTGTTAGGGATTTAAAATTTCATTACGTTCAGACCTACATGCATTTTTCCTTCTTTCTTTTTTTTTTTTTTCATTCTTAGGCAGAAAAAATGGAATCGACCACATGAAGAAGCATGTGAAGTTTATTTTTATGCGAGATGTTATTTGGAGGACCACGTACACTTTTTCAGGCCATGGGAGACGAAAGACTAATCACATGATATTTTTGTTCTGTCGAAGTGGTGTTCTGTGCTAAGTCAATGTTGGTTTGTATTAAGGACAAATATTAACTTCTTAATGTCAGCATGTCGACTGTGACAAGTGCTCAGACGCCGGAGGAACCTAATCCTCCCCCCCTTGAAGAAAAGCCAAAGGGAAAATCACTATTTCATTTGGGTTCGCTCTTTGCTAACAGGAGTGAAAAATTTGTGATTGCTAGGAGTGATAGTGTACCAGAGGAGAATGTTCTGAAAATAACTATCACGGAGACTACGGTCATTGAGTCGGACTTGGGCATCTGGAATTCTCATGCTCTCATCTACCTCACTTTGTGGTTTTTCTTCAGCTTTTGCACTCTTTTTCTTAACAAATACATTCTTTCATTACTGGAAGGAGAGCCCAGCATGCTAGGTAACCCTGCCTTTCTTTTACACTTCAATTCCAGTAAGATATTTGACGATACCAGATCCTCCTATATAAAGCTGAGGGACAAAATGGTTCAACTGAGGTGAAAAAGACCTAGTTAGGAGATTTGGGGCTGGGAACTCATGAGTTGTGATCTCAGCCTGTAAAGGGGCTGCTGACACTGTCCTTTTCTCCACTTGCTGAAAGGTGGTATGAAACTTTGCTCATAGGGGAGCTGTAAGATGGTGTCTGAGAACTAAGAGATAGAAAGAAAAATGAAATTTTTTGTTTTCTGTGTTGGAGGGTATTGTGGGTTTTTAAAAAAAATAAAATTGTCAGTTGTTGATAGTCTCCAGAGCTGTTAAGATTAACTTGTTTGTACAAGTGCAAAAGTTGCCTTTGTGCGACCTCTGTTATCCAATGGGCTGCTTATTCCTTTTATTTTTTTTTAAGAGGAAAAAAAGGGCATTTAATCTGTGAACTGGATTTTATAGGTGTATGCCACCTTTGTTTTATTCTGCTGCCTTGCTGGTAGATGTAGAAGTAAAGGGCTTTTATGAGAATTCATAAAATCTAGACAGTAATTGCCGTGTTTCTTGACTGCTAAAAGTACTACGCATAAGTTTGTTTAAGAAATTTTCTTATATTGCTTGATTCCTCATGTTCCCATCATCTTCTGATTTTATTTTTTTTTCCTCTCATCTTTCTTTAGGTGCTGTTCAAATGCTTTCAACCACCTTCATTGGCTGTATAAAAATGTTTGTTCCATGCTGCTTGTATCAACACAAAACACGCATCTCTTATCCACCCAATTTCATCATGATAATGCTGTTTGTTGGATTAATGAGGTAAATGGTTAACTATTTCCTAGAGATCTATCTGGTTGCTTCATGGCATCCTTCTGAACGGAAGCTGTATTTTCATGGCTCTCTTCCTTTTCGTTCTTGATTGGAATGTTCATTTGGAGTATTCACCTTTCCCCCCAAAAAAATCACAGGATAATTTTATTTTTAGTTCTTACTGCTAAATGCTATGTTCCTTTTTCTAGGTGTCAGTTTTCTGGCTAGCTAGGCTTCCCGTCACATTTAGCTTCTTTCAGAAGATACTTCTCTTTCCATTTACTTCTTGTTCTCTTTTGAGGACGATGTTTGTTTAGTGTACTAGTATTTATTATAGTGTTGCTTTGTTCCCTCACCTTTTCCAGCAATTTGCCTCAAAAGTGATACAGGCTACTAACATTTGTCTGTTAAAAAATAAGTATTTGCTGTGTGCTGGGATAGTATCAGTTTGTGGTCTAGGAAAGAATAAGAATAAATGGTTTGGTTTCCTCTACACTGCAAAAGTGATAAAGGATGACAGGATTCAAATGAATTTAGAATAGCTTTATCGTAATAAATCTGCCAGCCTGTTGTTTAATTTCGTGGTTTAAAGTATGGTAAATATGTACTGTACCTAATTTACACTAAAGATGGATAACTGCAAATGATAAATTTTCCTTGGTGGATTACTGTTTATCAGCAGAATTGTACTAACTTTTTCAACTGAGCCTATGGAAAACTTTAGCTTAAAACACTGTCATCTGAAGCTTGGTTAGAGTGCATTAAAAAGTAAACTTTGATGTTTTCTGGAAATCCAGTGTACCTCCATAGAAACTGCACAGTTGCCTGAGGGTGCCTTCATTTGTGCTAAATAAATAATAATGTTTAAGCCAAAGCGGAAAGAAATAGACCTGAAGTGTTCCACCCCGCAGGTGCTGTGGAGTAAAGGTGCGCAGCTGATGAGTTACTGTGATGTGATAACTTGATTGCCAGCTGCGCCTGTCCATATTCTTAGTTACTGCAGCTCAAATTTAGAAACCTAGAGAAGTTATAATGCAATTCTTTTTTATGCTAGATGTCTAAGCGTAGCTCTTAAAGGATTATTTTATTTTCTGCTTAATTTCATGTGTTCTTCTATTACAGATTTGCAACAGTAGTCTTGGGTCTCGTCAGCTTGAAAAATGTGGCAGTTTCATTTGCAGAAACTGTTAAAAGCTCTGCACCTATTTTCACTGTTATCATGTCTCGGATGATATTAGGAGAATACACTGGTAAGTACTTCAGTGTTGAAATGTGGGGGGGGTTTTCTTGTTTTGTATAATACTGTCACTTAGTTGGCCATGGATGAGGAGATTCCACCAAAATATAGTAAATGCAGCTGGAAGAATCACTCTGAATGCAAGAAGTAGAGTATATTTACAAATTAAAAAGGATTTATTTTAATGCAGCTGCGTTGCAACAATGCTTCAGAGCATCATTGCTCTGAAGTTATTTTTCTGTCAAGAAAATATTATTGCAGCCTTAAATAACTGAAGTTCAGCATGTTCCTTCTTATAAAGACAGCTTGCTGCTCAGAATTTAAAATGCTTGACTTTATTCACTATGTTTGCTCTGTGATTAAAAAAAAAAAGGGGGCAAAAAACCAAACAACTGGCTTACCACAATATAATTTCTTCCAGTCTACAGTATAATTTCTTTGCGATTCCCCTTGCAATTGCATGCTATTTGCTTGCCCAGATTTTGCTTGTTACCAGTTATAAGGAGTAATCCAGAAGCCATGTATAGATTGCTTTGTCATGCAAAATGGCAAAAGGCTGAAATAAGCCAGAGGAAGAAGAGTAATTCAGTCACAGAGTAAACAGGGAGAGTATAATTTTCTTCTGTCATTTGATGAAAAAGGTGAAACAAGACAGTCGTCAGTCCACTTTCTTTCTCCAAGGGAGATACTTTTGTCAGTGAGTATATGTCTATATTGTTTTCAAGAGCACCCTGCTATTGTCTGAGATCTCACTTTAGAACCTCTGTGCTTTAAAATCCATTCCAATAAGTTGCTCTTTCTTTCAACTAAGGAAGTTAAGGTGGAAATTAAACTTTCAAAACCTATACTGTCTGATACATGTAATTTGAAGTACAGTAAACTCAGACTTAAATTTTTCTTTTCATTTGCAGGATTGCTGGTTAATCTCTCTCTCATTCCTGTTATGGGTGGGCTAGCTCTATGTACAGCTACTGAAATCAGTTTCAACATTCTAGGCTTCTCGGCAGCTTTATCTACTAATATCATGGACTGGTAAGGCATAACGATAGTTGCATCTGTGGAAGAAAGGAATTTTGCTTATTGGTAGATTGAAGAAAATTGTTGCCTGTAGTTGTTTTTGTACACTACATTTAAATGTTGGTATTTAAAATGTATTTTTAACAGAAGATAAGATTTGTCTATCATACCTGCTAGCATTCATGACATTAAAAAATAGTACAACTCCGTTAGTCTAAAGGAGTTAGACCAAACTCCTTTCTGTGATTGCATAATGTGTAGAATGTGAAATGTGTAGAAAACATATCTACCCATCTAAGGGAAACAGCTGTCTTTCTCATGGATTGATTTATTTGTCATAACTAAAATACAGATAAATAGTGGTATGTTTTTTTTTTTTCCAGTTTGCAAAATGTCTTTTCCAAAAAACTACTCAGTGGAGATAAATACAGATTTTCGTAAGTATTAAAAATATTTCAGGTTTGATTATAGACGGACTTCGGGCTACATAAGGAAACGATATATTTATGATTATATTGCACCAAGATGGGTTTTTTTTGTCTCAGACTGTTCACAGATAGCTTTCACCTAAATCATTTTATCAGGGAAAGAAAACTCCTCTATGCTCATATCCCACTGCGGTAGGTCGGAGTCTCATAATCAGCTAAAACTCTCAGCATATCCAGAAATAAGTCCGTATTCTGCAATCATAAAACATCCCTTAAGGTTATTAGGCATGCAGAAGCAAACTTTAGAACTCCCTTGATGTTTTAACTATGAAATGTGAGCCAGGAGTAAAATCTTGTGGTAAAATATACAAATATATTTGTATAGCGGTATGTATGTCCTTTACCACATGATGAAATGCTAGTTTTGGTCTTGAAAACTTGTCTTTTATCTTCAGTCTATCTCAGCCAACACAAAAAGCAAAACACTATCTTTGCAAGGGATTGCTGAATTTGTTGTCCCCAAAGCTCAGTAGATGGCTTTTATTACTTTTTGATATCTGTAAATACAACAATGATGCAGCTTTCTTCAGCTGTAAGAAAGAGGAAGCTTTTAATCATTTTAATCACTTTTTTTTTTTTCTCCTTTGTAGAGCCCCAGAGCTTCAGTTCTACACAAGTGCTGCTGCAGTGGTTATGCTTATTCCAGCTTGGATATTTTTCATGGTAATTTGAGTTCACTAACACTGATTTATGTTTGCTTTTTGACTTGTGAGCAGAATGTGCAACTAAGGTTAATCTTAATTCTTACTTTTCATTCTTCCCATTTTTTTTAAAATCACCCTGAAATGCATTTCCTCTTATGTTTGCAAGAGATTAGGGGGAGGTAAAAAAGGGAAAATTTTCAAAGAAATAATTTAATATAGACATGAGTTGACAAGTGGCTTGGATATTTTTCATGGTAATTTGAGTTCACTAACACTTATGTTTGCTTTTTGACTTGTGAGCAGAATGTGCAACTAAGGTTAATCTTAATTCTTACTTTTCATTCTTCCCATTTTTTTTAAAATCACCCTGAAATGCATTTCCTCTTATGTTTGCAAGAGATTAGGGGGAGGTAAAAAAGGGAAAATTTTCAAAGAAATAATTTAATATAGACATGAGTTGACAAGTGACCCAGAAAGCCTGAGTTTATTTCAGGATTTTTGAGATCAAATCATATTTTTGTCAAAGTGCATTTAAAGTTTTAGATAAAGACTTGAAAACCAAATCTTAAATATTTGCTGACTTTTTGCTGATATTCACATAGTATACAGGAATATGAACTCCTGAAAGCAAAATTGAGCTGAAGTAAGTATAATGTACCAGGTTAAATACGTATCCTTCATATTCTGGCATTTCATTGCCATGCATCAGTGTTCAGAAAAGAATATATATCACAGGCAGGCTGAACACACTGGAAAGTTCAGTCAGATGAGAGCTGTTTTTCTAATACACTATTTTTGGGGGGGGGAAATTTGAAGCATCTAAATGTCCTGTATGTTTTAGGATTTGTTTTGCTGAAGTTTAAATGTAAAACTATATCTGCTTATAATAATAATGAGTTGGGTGGAAAATCACTTTTAGATGTGCTTATAAACTGAACTCTTAAAGTCCTCTTTTTTTGTTGTTTAGGATGTGCCTGTGATTGGGAAAAGTGGAAGGAGCTTCAGCTACAACCAGGATGTTGTCATACTTCTCTTAATAGATGGAGTCTTGTTCCACCTACAGAGTGTTACAGCCTATGCCTTGATGGGAAAAATTTCTCCGGTGACTTTCAGGTAAAACTGTATTTTCACGTCAAGAACACGATTTTATTTTTTTTTTCTTGCTTGGTATTTCTGCTTGAGATCTAGGCAGTAAAGGTATTGTGCAAAGAAATAAATAATGCAAATGCATAAATGCATCAAATTAAGAAGAAAACTTTTCACATCTGGATCACCAAAGCTTTGTGGATTGCTCCCTCACTGTGTGAGGAGAGCAGCATTTGACCCCATGCTGTTGAGCTTACGGAACAGGTGCTCACGTTTACAGGAGGGGTATTGTATTCAGGTTTCACAGCCATTCATTAAAGCAGGTTAATGAGACTGAACAGATTCACCAAAACCCTAGATCCAATGTTTAAGCTGCCATTTGCTTCAGTGAGAAGGCAATACTATAGGTATACGTCTCAGTGCATACAGAATATGAGCAATCAGCTCTGTATGCCTTTTTTCTGAAGCGTGACACCAGCACGTCAAGCTGTATTTGTTGAATTATATGTGTTCTCTGAAGACAGCCTCCACCTACATTGTCAGTTACCGGCAGCTTTGTTAGGCTGTTACGCAATTCCGATTCAGTAATTGGTCATTTGTATGAATAGCCCTAGGGCCTGTGGGGTAATCCTGGTCCTAAACTCTTAAGGCTTCTGCTAGTTTATACTTTCAGGTGCCCCTGCTACAGTCTTGTGACAATTCACTGTTGCACACGTGCTTATTCTGAAGTTGTTAGTCTTCTCTGTGTAACAGGGTGTAAAAGCATACGTTCTTATTTACGTGTATACAAAATTTCTTAACAACTTATTATAATGTTATTGGTATGATTTAGATATTGATTCTTTTCAGGTTATAATGCTATATTACCGGAATAGTAGCAGCAGACTCGCAAATGATAGTTACGTTGCGAGTGTTCTATTAGCATTTTCTACATGTCTGTGTTAGCTAGATATGATCTGCTAGCGCTGTACTGTATACTTAAAAGCAGTGAAAACAAAACCTGAGGTGAATTATTTGTACTAGCTTTAAAATTAAGATGAGAGTAAAGATACCAGTGCTGATATACGAGCAATTTGGTTATGGTATTAGTTTCAGGAGGAAAAGTGGAATCTGAGCTGGTGTTGAAAAAGCAAGCAAAACAAAGAGAGGTCCCACTGCATTAAAGCATAGTTGTGTGTGGGATATGAGAAAGCTTTCTTTGGCCTTAATTTTTATATTCCTTTCCAGTGTTGCTAGTACTGTGAAGCATGCGCTGTCAATCTGGCTAAGTATTATTGTGTTTGGTAACAAAATCACAAGCCTCTCAGCCATTGGGACTGTTCTAGTGACAATTGGAGTTCTGCTATATAACAAGGCAAAGCAGCATCAGCAAGAGACTATACACAGCCTGGCAGCTGCAGCCCCGCAATCCGCACAAAGTACAACTGAAGATACTGAGCCACTAATTTCCAAGGATTTGGAACCGTATGATTAATATGGCCATTTATTCTTCCAAGCTAGTGTAACTCAAAGGAACTCTTCCTGAAAGTGGTGGTTTCTTCAGCCGTTGATGCCGATTTGGTTACTTTGAGTTCATGGTAGGTCAAGCCTGGGACTTGAAGCAAAGAGAAAACAATGGGAAGACTCCAGTAAGCCTTGATTTACTGAGAAACTGATACGCCAGGGGACCTAGTATCGTATAATGTGGTAAACGTGGGCTTTATTGTCTTTCCTTGACTGCAAATAATGTACAAGGCTGTATTAGAGAATGAACTTCAGTGTCTTATGGGAAAACAATGCCTGTCTCCCTACCCATCAAAATAATGTGAAAACATGGACCCATCACTGTATTCTGCTTGCTTGCAGTGGAACGGAATTGGTGCATAACCAAAATTCCTAGGTGTTTGTTACTCTCCGCTGTCTGCATCCTCCACCATTTGTGTGCGTTGTAGAACTGGAAGAAGGAACCCCTTCCTCTCCCAACAAGTGACTGATTTTGGTATACATTTAGTTGAAGTAAACTATGGAAATGAGTCCGTGCCCCAAAGCAGCGGCGAGCAGCTATTTCTGACTACAAAGCTAGGAATGGAAAGTGATTTTTCTACTGAAATTTAACATGGAGATATTGCATCCTGGTTGTGTATTGACAATATTGAAATGTACGTCTACACACATATACATACACTGTATAAATGGAGTGTTGAATTAAATATTTGCATTTGCTTAAAGGTAAAAAAACACTGACAAATTTTGGTGATAAAGGAAGCAGGATCTCTGTATTTCTAAAAGAAACCATTTAAATATTTTAATTTCTTGCATTTTATTATATATTTCTGTTATCAGGAAATAAATTGATTTTTTTTTTGGTATTATTTCTAAGAGTGCAACAAAATACTGCCTTTTAGAAACTCAGGGTTATAATTCTGACCTATGTGCAAAGTATTTCTATCATTTCTGATTACGTAAAGAATCTCGGAGGTATCTGTGACAGAGATGGAAGAGAGGTCACTAAAGGGAGGAATATTAACCATAAACTGAGGCTAATCTTTATTTCTCTTGAGTGGGAGGGAAACGTCAATTTTTTTCATCCTTGTGTATGTGATGTCTGTGGGTTTTTTGTTTCTTTGTACTCCTATCACTTTTACAAAAAGCTGTGGACTATGGGGTGGAGCTCTGTTTTTCTCTTTTTCTTTTTTTTTTTTTTTTGTAGTTATGCTTTAAAAAATCTCAGTGTATTTGGCAGAAAACATCATATTTCTGCTTTTGTTGGAAGACAGAAATGTAAGTGGCTTTCTGGTTGCCTTAGCTCCATTCTCATGTAAACCCCTTCATCAACTGATTGAGCTTTGTTGTAAAAGCTAGCAGGCTTTTGCCTTTCCTATTGCTGGAAAACTTTTTGTGAACCCAACAGCTGGGAGGATTTTGGAACTTGTAATTTCTAACACATGTCTAAGCTTATTAGTGGCTGGTTTAGCCCCACCTGTTCTGTGGCAGGGCAATAATCCCTTTTTACTAGGGGTTTGTTTGCACAGTGTTGATCTTGTGTACTATGCAGTCTTCTTGGCCTTTATTTTTATTAGATTAAACAAACCAACCTCTGTACTGTCCACTTGTAAGGCCTTTTCTTCCTCCAGGCATACTAGTAATTCTCGTTTGCTGTTGGGTACACAAGGACTGTTCTGTTCCATGTTAAGAATTCACCGCGGTATTAACCCCAGCTGTCTGCCTTCTGGTTGCGGGGTACGATGGCAGTAGTGCTGCCTCCTTTCTTCTGAACGTCCGCCCTGGAAGCGCTCGAGGGTTTCCCTGGCCTTTCTCCAGCCGCACCCCGGTACTCGTGCACCGATGAAGACAAGCTCCGTGAGCTGGAGCTACGCTGATCGTTTGGTTTACGTTTGTCAAGTACCTTCTCGTAGGAACAGCACGTCTTCCTTGAAACGTGAATTCGGGAAATAACGCAAGTCCTCGCTGGAGAACGCAGACCTGCCCGTGTAAGGTGTTACTCGCAGCAGTTCACGTTTCTAAAATGACATTAATTCCCAGCTAAAACGATGGACGGATAATAAAGTAGCTACGCACAGTGCTCTTCCCTGTCACGTAGCGCGTCGTAACCTGTGGTCCGCGCTTGGAGGAGGAGCGCGGTAGCGTCTGCCTGCCCAGCCTCCGCTCATTCTCCTTTCCAGGAATCTTCCCGCACGGAGTTAGCGTATGTTCTCCTTCCTCGGGCGTCGGCTCTGTTACCACTATGTAAGCGACTTGTTTAAATGAGCGTCAGAATCATGTTTTATTCACATGAATAGTAATAAAATTTAACTTTTTGTATGTAATTATAAGGGTGGTCCCGAAGAATGACGTATGCGGCGATAGCCTCTCCGTTTCGGCCGCTGAGGTGCGCGTTCGCTGCGCGCTGTTTTGTTCGCTGGTGCAGCTCATTAATGAGGTGGCTGCCCCGCCTTTCCCGTCATGGCGGCGTGCGTCCGGGCGCCTGCGTCACGGAGCGTGCGTGCGGCGTCATCAGCCTGCTCCGGCGGGCGGAAGTGGCGCCTTTGTCCCGCGCTGCTCGTCCCAGGCTCCGGTAGCGGCGGCGGTGAGTGGGCCCGGCTCGGGCGGCGGGCGGGGGCCCGGCCGCTCCCTGCGCCGCATCGGCG